GCATGTTTCATTCCCAGAATTCCCTTCTCAGTAAATTTTGCCACTACGGCTACTAGCTGAAGAGGACCACATAAATCCTTACCGTACTTCAATGCTTAATTACACCATCTCGCTGTTTAAAATGTAAAAAGATAAGTTTTTGTATCACATTTTTATACTATTACTCTATTACAGTGTCTTATTTACGATGTTGTAATTACAGGTTAGTGGAGACTGCTGAGTGAATGTGGCATTTAATGTTTTACAACTCATAATTCGACTCGACACAGGAGAAAATCCTAGTGTGGGGCAACGTTTAAAAAAAAAAAAAAAAAATTATTGTGAAAGGGTAATAAAAATGGTGTACGAATGCTATAAATATATCTAATACAAATTAATACGTCTAAACTTATGAATTTTGACACATAGATTTTATCAAGTCCCAAAAGGATAGACGGAGGTGCATTTAGGTGCAACCTCTATTCGTTATCAGTTTTATGTTCATTAAAAGATCGATGAGCTTATTACCAGTTAGGCTTAGATTTTAACATCATAGGTACAGTTATAAAAAAAAGATGAAACCTGAAAATTTTATAACTACAATAAATCTGCAGATCTAGTCTATACTCAGTCGTACCAAAAAGTCATGAGCAATTGACTAATTGCTTACTAAATAAATAATTTCCGCAGATAATTTTATACGGTTATACTGATGACGAATACTATGTTTTGAAGAGACAAAGAAAATAATTAGATGGTAATATTAGAAGGGGCAAGAGATAAACAAACTATTTGATGGTAATATTAGACGCGAGTGGTCGCAAGTGCGACTGCCGGGCAAGGGGTCTCGGGTTCGATTCCCGGGTCGGGCAAAGTATTACTGGGTTTTTCTCAGTGGTAGCACGGAGTCTGGAACTGTGCCCGGTATATGGCAATAGGCTCACCCTCTATTACATGGGACTCATAACATAAATAGTGAAAAGTGGGTGTTACATTACAGTGGCATTAAGTGCCGTAATGTGCACCTCTGCCTACCCTTTCGGGGATAAAAGGCGTGATGTTATGTATGTATGTATTAGACGCTATAGAGATAAAGTAAATGATTTTGTGATAATGTTTCAAGTTACACGCCGTGGTCTAGATCGTGTATTGCAATTAGTGTCGACATTCCTTCAGAAATTGTGTTATTGCTGTTAAATGGAAATCGTTTATGTATTCAGCACACAACACATGTGATCTATAGGTTTCCGAGGAACAGGATATTGGTGGTAACACAAGAATTTACAATCACTTCTCATATTGTTGGAGTTTTTTTAAAAGGTTTAAGGATCGATTCAAAAACATGTACCATCTTGTTATTTAAGAACTATGCAAAATTATTTACACTACATTTTTAAGCTACATTTTTTGGGTGTTTCTATTTCATCAGCCTCCCAGGTAATTCAGCATCTTAATAACCTAAAATCAAATGATTTCGATTTAATGTTAAGTTTTCAAAATCCATAATTGTTTGACAATGCAAGTCATTTTTGTACAAAAATTTGGATAGTAATGTCGAGAAAACTTCTCTCCTAATATTGTTGCTCAGTGAATAATGTGTCTTAAGTTTTTGTTAGCCTTATATGAAAGCCAACAGATAACTCGAAATCGACATAATTTAGCCGCATATTATTAGTTACATAGAAACGTAGTATTTAGTACATATATAGTATTTAGCTTCCGTAACCATTTTTCTTACATTGTACAATCAATGTATGAAGTAGAGCAAATATGTAATTATTTTCAATATTTGGTCTACTGTACAGATATAGTAGATTATAATTAGGATTTAATGGTTTATTAGTCTTCGAATATCTGGTATTGACCATAATTTTGAATTGTGTAAATTTTTATAAAATGGATTTAATATTTCGTAGAACATAATTATTATTTCAGATATTAAATGCAGCAAAAATATGTAATTAATTCTTGCAATAAAAATTGATCATCACATATATTAAGAATGATTAAAATACCTACAGATCGATAATCGCAGCGACACAAATTCTAGTTCGTACTAAATATAGGTACCTACAATGTTCAACTATTTACAATCTACTCAGTAGCCATTATTTTTTTTTATTTACACTTCTTGTACAATATGCAATGGCGGACTTAATACCTAGTGGCATTCTCTAACTTAACCTTAGGGTGATGCAGAGAGACACAATTATAGGTGTACAAGTTGAACTTTGTTGTGAGTAAATTACTGTGATCTTTGAATATTATAATATTTATTTACATTTATTTTGTAATGTGAAAATCATTTAAAAATAGTGCAAAACACTTGCAAACAAAAAATAGCACCAAAAGTTGCATTCCTACTCACTTGGCAACAGTTAATAAAAATGATATCGATCGAGTTCGCATTCGAAGGTGCATTCCTTTGAATGTAATGTTACATAAAAGATATTGAGGTTTTACCTTTACTTTCACAATTTTCTTATCGAATTCATTCTTATTTTATACCTGGTTATTGTATAGTGTGTTGCTACCTGCCAGAAATATTTATTTTGTTTTGGCAATTGTAGAATACTTTTTTTGTAAAAATGGTAACTAAACAGCTGAACTCAACTGAAATAAATATTATTTTACTATTTTTTTTTTATGGAATAGGAGGCAAACGAGCATACGAATCACCTGATGGTAAGCGATTAGCACCGCCCATGGACACCCACAACACCAGAAGAATCACAGGTGCGTTGCCGGCCTTTTAACAAGGAGTACGCTTTTATTTAAAGAAGTATTTTAAGGAGTATTTTACTAGACTGTTTAAAGCTCAACAAAATTGCCTCATAAAAATCGGAACGTGTTTAATATTAAAATAATACAATCATATGAGCTGTAACAGTAAGTTTGATTGATTACAGTGTAGGCACTGGTTAGCAAATTAATCTAACATTACTTTACAACCACTACACATTCACGTTTTAATCTAATATGTCACCAATATCTTGTTCTATTTAGCTATCATGATCATAATTGACATTATAATTAAATAGCGGAAACCTTTCTCTGGTCCCTGATTAGGAACATAAGTTGCGCGTGCGCGTGGCACTCGCGGCGCGTGGCTCGGCGCAGGCGCATTGCGACAATACCGACGGTGTCATGGCCGCCACTAGTGAACGGCATGTGCAACTAAATATAATAAAACATAACAGTACGCATAAATCGTGGGACATTAATGTCACACTTTGATCATATTCGGAGCACCTTGGTCTCGTATTACTTTTTAGGGACTGAACCAATTTTATAGTTGACAAATACTATAAAATAAATGATTTAATTGATCACTTAAAAATGGTTTTCCCAGAGAAAGATAATATTTTTATCCATTTATGTCTTAGGAATAATGGTATGTATTGCAACAACAAGCCAAATTAAAACTTCGTGCGGACGAAATCGCTAATTTGCATGATTAGAGGTTCATTTACCGCTTAAAATGCATCGATTTGCATTTATAATTTTTGTATTTACATAAAGGTTAAATCATTTCTCACAATAATATACTTGTAGCTATTTTTAACCAGAGTTCACTTTGGCTTAGGTACTGTAAGATGTGACCGTGATGCATGTGTAATAATGTGAAGGAAGCTAAAGAAGATTTTAAAATTTTCGATAGGAGATAGAGATCTGGATATAATAATTTACCTAAAGCGTCTATCAAAATAATAATAATAATAATATTAAGAGAAAAATGACTGCCTCGTTGGTCGAGTGGTCGCAAGTTCGACTGCCGTGCAAGGGGTCTCGGGTACGATTCCCAGGTCGGACAAAGTAATACTGGGTTTGTTAAAAATTCTCAGTAGTAGCATGGAGTCTAGAATTGTGCACGGTATATGGCAATAGGCTCACCCCCTATTACATGGAACACATAACATAACACCTAAAGTATGCGGGAGTACATCTGCCACGTGTACTTGTTTTTTTTAACTTATGTCTTCGTCACGACTACTTACCAGGTGATCTTATGTATAACAATGATAGTACCTATTGTAAAGAATAAATCGGGTGATGCCTCTGACATTTCCAATTATAGCCCCATTTCTTTGGTGACTGTCTAAAGTGTTGGTTAAAGTGTTGAACAGTATGCTTGATAGAAACTGAGAGCTCTATCTTGTGCCTCAAGCAGACTGTTTAATACTACACAGACAGGAAGACACCTACTTTTTTCTGTTTTCTGGATTTGTCAAGGGCATTTGATCTAGTTTGTTACAGGTGCGGGGTGAGGCAACCCCTTGCCTCACCCCGCACTAACTAACCCCCCGGCTTAGTTTGCCCCGACTTTTCCTTTATTCATGAACGAGTTCTATATGTTTTTATTTTCTATTTTATAGGCTGTACAAAATAATATGCAGAAATAATATAAATTACATAACATGACCAATTTATTTCGATGAGTAATATCGAGGGGTTAAAATAAATCAACTACAGAATAATGATTTCATGGAACTATACTAAATTGGGCACAAACAACTACGATATAAATAAAATTAATGCAATTACACAAAAAAGCACCCGAAAAAATGAAAGTACATCATCGGCGGCGAGACAAAAGCCACGGCCATCTGGTTTTGGTTCGTAACAAAGTGACCCAATTAGTTATTCTGGGTATAGGAATATTTTTGCATTGCCAGATATAAAAATACATGTGCACGTCCTTGTGAGGTAATATAACACCAGCACTCCCACTCGCTCCAGTTTCCGAGGCTTTGGACTTTCACTACCTTTGTGAGACCGTTTTACGCAATGCACACGGCATGCGTAATGCATGTTTTAACATTTCGATTTCTGAATCTTATTTTGTGTAATGTTTAATTTCTTGTATATTACCTGTGCAATATTTGACACATGTTATTCATATGCCACACCATTTTATTCTTTTCTAAATAAGTTTAAAAACTGGTAATAAAACATAAGACTAGGTTGAAAATAAAAGATTCGTTTGTAATTAAAATGCATTTTAATTTACAAAAGCGTCACAGTCAATTAGTTTGAAGAACTTTGGTTCAAATTAAGTCTTTTAACGACTTATAAAGAAAAAACACTTAACAATATTTTATTTTAATTTGGTTAATTCTCTTCAGTCTGTCTCAACGTTTCTTATTCGAAAATTCTAATTACAACCTATCCGGCTTTGGCCATATAGTTACACAGTATACATAAATAATCTAATTTGTATTTAACAAATAACTTAAATATCAAACATATCTAACAAGTTTATGACAGGTTTCTTTTTCTTAACAATCTTTCGAACAACCTCCTTCTGCCCAGTTCCTCGTGTGGAACCTGGATACCTGTCATCCTGTGACGTGTCATCGAAGTTACTCGAAAACTGCGGACGTTCATAATCATCATCGAGTGTTCTAAAATCGTAGGGATCGGGATGAGGCGTAGTATTCTTTAGTTTCTTCTTAGGAACTAGAATGTAATCATTTAAGTCATCGCTTGGGAAGCGGTGTTCTGGCTCTCTTGGTTTGTGGGGTCTCTTCTTCTTAGGTCTGGGAGGTATGTCATCTGGGTAATACTTTTCAGGAGCAGGCAAATCAGGTATCACTGGAAAAGTGTATTTCACTGAAGCAGATGGTTTGACGGGATAGTCGTCGTATTTATGCCCCTTAAAGTTACCGTTCCCATAATGTTTTGTTACGTATCTATCAAAGTCGATACTTGGTTCGGCGTATTTGTCGTACGAGTCTCTAAACGAATCTGGGGGAAATTGAGGATATTTCTTATTCAACTCTAGATCGACATTGTTTGAATACAAATTGTCTCTGTTAAAGTAGCTTTCTTTTTTAGTTTTTGTTTTGCAATTCGGGTCGAAATTAAATCCAACGTGACTTTGTGGATCAAATTCTGAGAATTCATCGCGTGGATGTTTGATAGCAATGCTGTGTGCAAATTCACTAGGTTCAGAGTCTAGAGGATGATCTGAATACGATGGGTATTTTGTTCTTTTTCTGTTAGGATATTCTTTTCGGTTTGCTTCGTATGGTTTCTTTGCTGGCCTTCTATCGTAGTAGTCCTCATCTGGGTCTTCTGAGAAATCATAATACTTTTCATAATCTCTCATTGCTTTTTCTTCTAGTATACTACGTCCTATGTCTGCATCGCCAAGTCTTTGATTTTCTCTATTAATAACGGCTTGAAATCCTGTGTTTGGTCCAGCTGAATATTGTACAGAGCGTGTAGATCCGTCTGGTTCTAGTACACTGTAGTGACCTGTAAAATAGAGAGCACACATATAAAGCAACGTATCGATATAAATATTATTAGCTTATAACCATGGTTCGTGATTTATTGTAATTCTTTAAGACTTGTTATTTGGTAATATTAGTAAAATCACGACAAAATTCGTTATACAGATAATTATATCGAAAAATTTAATAACTTCAAATGGTTACATCTTTAGAATGTATTACATTTAACTCGTCGAGTACCGGTTTTGTAGACACAATTATAGAACAATAGGTTGCGGTCACCGGTGACCGCTTGGTGTTTGACAGTTTAAACACTGGTGAACTCACCAGTGTCTCACCAATCTAACTAGATTAGCACAAGTAATAGAGACTTCATATTACTTTTAAAAATGCATTGTACCTTGAACAGTGTCACCATCTCGTGACTCCCATACTTGTTTAACATCTCCAGTTTTGCCGTCAGTGACGCCATAGCTGAACGAGTAGGTTGATTTTCCCTGTCAATAAAAAACAAAGCATTTACTCATTAATTCAACGACATTTTTTCCTTCCACTGTAATTACGTTGTGATGTCTCTATATAGAAAAAAACTGAGAATGTGTGAGGCGATAGCTTGCGTGTAATAATTCGGTATTTTACTCATTATGACAATTGATTGCATGTTCAGCCATTTTAGTTTAATATTCTGAATAACTAATGAGGGATTTAATCGTTTCCATAACATAGGTATGCAGGTAATTACAATCAGGTAGAGTGAGTGTATTAATGTCTGGCTGTCTGTCAAACCATTAGGCGTAACGTGTGCGGCATTTATCACTCTCGATCACGACTAGACGTTGCCCAACATTGAGGTTACATTGTTCTGAATGAGTCTGAATAAAATACTTTGTAAAATAGTTATCCATACTACATACTTGTGTACGTAAGTATTTAGTGGATGTATTGATTTAACTCGTCAAGTACCGTCATTATAGACACAATTATAGAACAATAGGTTGCGGTCACCGGTGACCGCTTGGTGTTTAACAGTTTAATAAATATTTTCAAAATTATTAACGTCTTTGATGTAACCTCCAAACTTTTGTTAAAATTCGACTTCCGTAGCTATAAAATCAATCAACATACGTCTGTAATTAACCTAAATCCATCTTTTAAATCTACCATTAATATTTAAAAACATCAAATTATTTAAGCTCGATATCCATACAAAAGTTTCTCGATGTTTATAAACATTGGCGGCATAAATGTCACTTGTTGACGGCCATCTTCTTGTCAAGTTCAAGATGAGCCAGACAGGTGCGCGTGCGCATCACGTGCCGTTACTCAATGTCAATGACGGATCGTTCACTTTCGTTCGTTTCCGCTTCGATTCGCTCAACAAGATTCACTTTTTTAGTGAGTAGTGAAGTGTGTATGTATTTATGTATTATACATAATTCACACTCTACTTGATTGTATCTCATGAATTCGAACTAAATTGATTGTCATTTTAATTTAAAGTATAAAATTACACATTGTTGCTTATTTTTTCGCACATGGAAACGGTAATCGATAACATTGTTAATGAACGATTTGCGGCGCATAATTACAATAAAAAATATCGAAAGTGATGAAACTTTTTCTGAGTAAAAAATCCAATGCCAACGTATTAATTGGCAAGCGTTCGTGTACCTTGCGCCTGCAATTATGATTTGCATAATATGTAAAAAGAAAAATAATAATTATTAAAAGCGACCAAGTAGAGCAGTGTAACAGTTGTACTAGTCGCGTTGCTTTGAGAAAAGTGGGTGAACCAGACAACCGGTGGCCGCATTCGTTTCGACATTCAGCGACCACTTTCAATAGTGCAAGTATTTGTGTGTATTGACATGTTGCAAGCCTCGTCACTGATAAGCGCAACCTACCTATAACCAGTGCAAAAAATAGCCTGCAAAGATCTAGATTCAAGTCCAATTACCGCAGGTGGTAGTGATAGTGGAAGGCCATGTCGGAATGAATGGTACATATGTCCTAAATCTAATGGAATCTTAATACCCTGACAGTAAAAATTAGAGACAATTAAGATGTTATGAATTGAAATTAATAGTTTACCCTAGAATTCAGAAGTGATTAGACGATTAATATCTGGTCTATTAATTAAAAATGTCAGGTTACAATGTCTATTGGTCAATAAATAAATGTCAATTAATTACTTTAAAAGTGAAACAGTAATGAATCAATGTGGATATGCTTTGTCTTAATTAGTGCGTCCTTTTATTCTCGTGATTTTACCAATTTATGTACTTTTTACAAAAAGTAATGAAAGCACGGTTACAAGTTAAATTTTTGATCATCATGTAGTATCCTTTGATAACATATTGGGCATTTTTATAGTATTTGATTCCGGAAGTAGTTAGGAACATGTCTGAAAACTGATATAGACTTAATTTTTCTTTAATCGACGCGAATCAAGCCCTTTTTTTAATAAAGCGCCCCTCCTCTTAGATTTTCTCTAGTATCGTGGATGTGTTTACAAACATACTATTTCACATGACATCCATGTCACCCATGATCCGGAACAACACAAAGAGTTGCTCCATGCGGGAATCGAACCCGCGACATGTTGCGCGGCAGCCGGTTGCCCAGCCACCGGACCAACCGTGTGGTCAAATTACATACATTAAACTTGTCATCTTAATTTTTTTAATCCGAATGATAATTACGTACTTAACTTTTTGTACTTAGTACAATTCGTTTAGAAAGTTATAATCCTACATTTACATGAATTATTCATTAATTTATGATTGATTATACTCCATTATATAACTCGTTTATTTCTTACGTAATTGCAATAATCCTTGTTGTAATAGGAAGAGAATGGAGAGCAGATGAATGAATTATAATCAGATGTAAAATGTAATAACTGATTGATATCTTTATTGTAGGTAACAAAAACATGAGATAGAAAGTGTTGATGATGTTATGGACAGTTTAAAAAAAAAGTAATTGGTATAATGCTTAGGATAAAACTGAATAAAAATGATAGTGAGATGTTTACGAAAAAAAAAACATTTTGAAAAGATTTGTGATAAAATATTCAAGTATGCAGTTGTATAATTAGTCATAGTGGAAAGTATAACACCAGTCAGAATATTATGATTAAAATTATCAATACATTCGCATTTTTCCGACATAACTATAAGACATGAATCTAATAATATTATAGTATCCGGTATCTGATTGATGATAAAATAATATTATTTGAATCGTTATATTTTCACATAATGTCTTACATATTATTATCATACGGGGTAAGCAAACGTTACGAAGTACATATAAGATACCGCATCTAAAGATAAACCTAAGATGTACCACATGAACTGTAATAAAAGTTTGAAATAAAGCGATAACTGCCATTAAACTGTCAAACACCAAGCGGTTACCGGTGACCGCAACCTATTGTTCTATAATTGTGTCTACAAAACCGGTACTCGACGAGTTAAAAGGTGGTATTTGTAAATCTCATACTGTATCGTAAATTACGAGAATCGGGATGACGACAGGGTATGAAAATTAAAAATCTAATTAGTCCGTAAGTTAGGTATTTAAAAAATATTAGAAACGTATTTTTTTATTTTGTCGTATAATAAAACAATACTTAGATAAAACGAATCAAACTTTAGGAGTGGGGGCTAAAACGTCATTTACATAAAAGTGACGTCACACGACATTTCAAATCAATATATCGTGGAAAGTATTCGTTTCTGTAAGAAAATAAAAAATACGTGTGTAATGATTTAAAATAATCTACCAGACGGACATTAAAATAAAAATTAGTCGTCTACCCTAGTATCGGGTGTTACAGTAACATGGTATTGTTACACACCGTGCACTAGAATAATCAATAAAAATATAAAATGGTTAAGTTACTCGACCTTTTGACTTTGAGTTCAGTAAAAGTAGACTATTCTTTGAAACCTTTAAACGTTTTAAATATTGTTTCTACTTCTATATAGATTTAAAAAGTGAACTCAAAATGTAACAAACCAAAAAAAAACATAGCACGGTGTATACCACACTAAAAATCTATGTTATTGCAAAAACAATGATCTACTTAAAATGCGCATTAATATCGAATTAATAAACAAAGAAAATCATGCAGATATTAATTTAAGTAATTATACGTATAATTATAATTTCGACGCCTACTTGCGTATTTAAATTGACGTGCGCATGCAACGGTCGCTGTAGTATTATAGTGAAACGCGTGAGCTATCGTGTTTTATGATCGAACGAAGTTTTTTTTTTTCAATCGTGTTATTAACGGTTTATTGTTGTTTTAGTTTTAATGGCTCTTTATGTCATACAAAGTACTAAATATTAGAAATTGTATTTATTGTTCGTTCATTAAGTACTAGAAAGTTCTAGTTCCTGCTTGATTCGTAACATTTTATGTATCTTCCTATTATTTTATGTATTTGTATGTATGTCAGTAAATTATGTATTTTTAGTTAATTTTTTTCCTTACAAGCTATATTTGCCATAAGTTGTTCATAACTAAACAAAACGGATACTCTTCTGGATTTTGATATGAGAAGTAATATAAACTAATCTATATACAAATATAAACTATATAATAAATAACTACAGCTAAGATAGTTATTTTTATAGTCAAAATTGAATATGAACGAGACACATTTTATAATACAGCATACTAATATGTTCAAATTAAAAAAATATATATATAACAATTATTTAACTATGAAAACAATGTACCTTTAATATGACAAGAGCACGGACACAAGTCCGTGGAGAAAGACAATTTATTACTATTTAAAAAACAATAAAATGGCAATTGGCTCACCCCCTATTACATAGGATTCGTAACATAAATAGTGAAAAGTGGATGCTATATTGTAGTGGCATTAAGTGCCGTAATGTACACCTTTTGCCTACACCTTCGGGGATAAAAGGCGTGATGTTATGTTATGTTATGTTAAAAAACAATGGCTCGATGAATAACATTTTCGGCATAAAAATTTTGAAGCAAAGGCTACTACTGGTAACTTGTGAAATAAATTTTCTACTAAATATGTTTACTGTATTTTATAATGTTTCAAGCATGTTTAAGAAAGTGTATGTTAAATAACATATTTATGTTTTTGTAACAAAAAAAATGTATTTAGATATGTAAAACACAAAAATAGCTCTTGTGTAAATGTAAATATACTATATCCGAGATAGTAATAAAACACAATACACCAACCAAAAGGACTACAAGAACTGAAACGAACTTGAAAGATTATCCATAATTAATTTTTATATTACAAGTTCATATTTCTATATTATGAATGAACTCATTGCGTAACATTATGTGCCTAAGAGGTCAAGTTATGAATTTTGATATCCAATGGTTACCTATAGTTGTGTGAGTGGCTTGAATACGTAAATTAATAGGAAAATAGCCTTCTAAGTATCTAATTATCACGAAATGGCTACAACTGCTATTAAGCTACACCAATAAATAAGAAAGTAATGATGATGAATAACAGAAAATGAAATCGATTGATTCTACTCACTTTTTCAGTCATCTGCGCTATTGTGTCTTCCACATAATCCCCTTCTTGACAATTGGTTGCTAACAAATTTGCCAAGAGGATCTAAAATGAATAGAAAATATTTTGTTTATAATTTAAGCAGAAAATCACTACAATTTCAGTAATTAATATAACAAAACAATAAATCATATTTTAGTAATTTATCAATATGTAATGTAAATTAAATTTATTTTTATTATAAATATAATTAAAATAATTAAATTTACATACCAATATCACTAGCGCTTTATCCATGATTACTGTATCCCACCATATACACGTCACGATATTAACAAAACAAAAACCATAGAAAAAAAATTAATAAACAACTATAAACTTGTCCATTTCAAGGTTGAAGCCAGATAGAGACGAGTCGCGACGACCACCACTTACCTATTTATAAACGCACACAGGAACACCCCCAGGCGAACGTGTGTTACACACATCCACACATATACACATGACAATTACTGGACTAGGATGTGATACATATAATTGTAGATCAGTTACCGGCAACTATCAGATAATTGTACCTTACACTTTGAAGAGACAAGCAATAAAATGTATCTTTTGAAGTTAACGACGAATTACCACTTTCATGCTTGAAAAAGTTTAAGTCGTAAAGATCTTATGAAACAATCTGTAACAAATTAATTAAATACATTAAACATTTTTAGTTCAGTAAATTTTAAAAGGAACAAGGGACAATAAGAGGAATTCAGGTGATAGTAATAGTCAAAAGTACTACAGGTAAAGGTAAAGGTACAACACTACCATAATACGCGTAACACAGAGATTAAATAAAAAGCAATTATTTCTATAATAAATAGTAAATGATATGATTATCTTTTCCTTTGATACATATCTCCTTCATTTGATAAAAAATTTAAATGAAAAGTCTCAACGTATAACCATCAATATGTAATTAATTAAAATATCATACCAGCATGCAAATCAATGAAAGTGAACGCTTTCAGTTATGATCGCATGAAAGTCATTGCAGTTACTGTTAACGCATAACGCACTATAGTAAATGTCGTAATTTGCAATTGTAATTATTATCTGACAATATTACGATATTCGGAGCCAGTTTGAATTGTATTGAAGACCTTGACACAATGTTAGTCAATGAAAGTAAGTTCTGCATAAGTTTATTGTTGACTTTTTTGCCCCGAGCCTTTTGTAATCATAAACTTCTTATATTATTTAAGAACTGTTCCATGTCATAATTCTACGTTGTCCTACGCTAGGTTTTTCTCCTATTATAATAATAGTTGTAAACTTATTGTCACACTTTTTAATCTTCAGATCACTTTCGTCACTAAGCAGAGATGTACATTGAATTGAATTCTTTATTATTTCCAAGACAGCCACACTTAGAAGACTTCGACTACCAAAGCAGTTGCATTTTATAATCATGTCTTTTAACAATAAGTCTATAAAGCAGTAGATTTGTTTTATTAGAGTAATAATAGTGACCCGTACCAGGTGTTTCTCCTAAGTTTAACAATGAAATAAGTTTATAAACTGCTTTAAAAATGGGAAATGCACTCAATATCTAACTGTAATAAGGAACTTTTACATTGTTGCAAATACACGACAATGTGCTAATATTCTGGTAATTAAATTTTATTTGACCATTAAAAAGAAAGGCGTGCTATTCACATGTTTCCGTTTTTAATTTCAACTGTTCGAAAATACAATTACATATTACCTCAATCACTACAAATATTACAAAGTCATCTAGTGTAGGACTATAGGCACAAAAATGAGGAACATAAAGATACAATCTTTCTTCAAGAATTTTCCGCTACACACCCGGAATGACTGAAAAGATAAACAGTTCCGATAATCTACTCAACAAAGAAACAAGCGATGCTAGAATAAGATTAATAGCATTCTTAAGCAAAAAACGGCTTTGTGTAAAAGTAAGAATAAATCGGTAATCGCATACATCTATCATTGTAGTCAAAACAATGGTCAAAAGAAAGTAATTTATTGGTGTTAGTGACAACAGTCGATTCTTTAACGTAGTATTAAACTAATATCCTGATATCAGGTATTCCGTCTGTTGAAGCGTAACAGCAATGTAACGACACACTCGCGTCATTCGTCAATAAGTAAACCTACCTTCACACTAAACATTAAAAGTATTTGATACACAAAGTATTAATGCTTACCTAAATGTAACACAATTTATTTCAACAATTTTTGCAAGTATAATTATAGAAGCAGATAATATAGTTTCATGTAGTTGGAATAAGTCTACTATGGTACGTTTTCATTGTGATAAGCACCACTTATATATGTGACAGAAAAGTCTTGTGAATCTTCAGAATCGAACAGAACAAAATTTTTATTACTCTGTAATTAAACCTAATTCTCTATAGTCAACCTTGCTACCACAATTCAAATAATGCAGTGCCGGCTATAAATCAAGAAATCCTATTACTCAATTAGTATTGTCAAATTACACTTGTATTTTTGAAAAATAATGCTGGTTGCGGTAGTATGTCGTTGTATCTAATCGTTCAAGTTAAAACAAATTGATATTAAAGGATTTAATAATTTTACAATCACAAATGACGTTTACGTGTGAACGTCCTTGTAATATTTATTAATGACCGCTCAACAATGTTTCATGCTTCGACTACTCCTGTAACGATGATGAATTTCAGTAGGAAAAGCGGCTTAATTCATCACTTTCATTTATGAATGGGTAAAAAATGAAACACGTGTCTAGTAAGTATTTTTCTTTATTTTTCATCCCGCTGTATCAAAACAAATTAACAATTCATCGTTACTTTACAAACCTTACGAGCTAATACAGTAATAATTACCTTTTGATAATTATATTATGTTTCGATACGTACGTTTAACATTATAAATAATACATCGAAGTTAATATCACAGTCTGACACTGGTTTAAGAATTATTCGGATTATTGATTTAGCTTAAAGCAATGCCATCTATCGGGCGTCATTGGAAACAAATGATACGTTGTAACAGCGCCATCTAGTAGTGAGAGTAGTAGCCACCTGAGCTGTGAGTGTTGTAGTGTTGCGGGTGGTGCGCATGACCAATGCGTTTGACGACGGCATTGAAACCGTGAATTTTGTCAGCTGTGTATTCAACGATGCGAGTGGTGCCATCTGGTTCGGCAAGGGAGTAAGCACCTGAAATTGTTTATTACTCAATCAGTACGATAGATAGTAGTCAACAGAAAAATTTTTGTTTATTGTATTCAGTACTCAGAATGAAAATGATAATCCATTGCATTCCAAAATATATATGAAGTTTAGAAAAGCACTGTATTAATAAATAATGCCATACCTTTGACAACATCACCATCTCGGCTCTCCCACTGCGTCTTATGATCTCCGGTGTGAGGGTCTGCTACTGCATAGTCGAAGGAGTATTTTGGGTATGACTGAAAAATTATTAAAAAATAATTGAAAATGATTTTTTATGAATGGTATAATTTTTAAATAATATAAGAAAATATTTAAAAATTGTAGTACAATATAATAATACACCATCATAAAGTAAATAAGAATAAACTTTCAACCAAACAACTGCATTAATGTTGTGTACTTCATTGGATTTCCGTAGAACAAAAGACATCAACGCGCGTATAATTTTGAAATACTGTTTTGTGTGCTTGAATTGTATAGGTAGCGTCATCCTCGCTAATTATACTAGTAGTAGGCACTAATCTGGGCACGCTGTCACAATATTTAAAGATGAACACATTCATAAAAAAAATATTTATACTCTATGGTCATCTCACTGGCAACATCATTGTACTTCTTTGTGCACGACCTGTCACGTCGTACCCTGGAAAATTTTTCAATTTAATTTGGTGATTTTCCTACTAAATGGGTCGAAAACGTCGCAAGCAGATAGGAAAACTGATGGAGTGTATGCAGGAATTGGATAATTGGGCGAAACCGGCGAGAGGACGCATTCGTTGTCGTCAGTTTGGTAAGTTTTTTCTTGTAGGTACTTACACCACATTGTGGGGCGTTTTCCAATAGCTTCCACAAGCGGATAGCCTTGAGAATGATTGTGTACGCAACATACACACTTGAAACGTACCATAAGAGCCCTCAGGAGAGGTGAGCCATTGGTTATACGTTTTCTATATACCTAGATTAAACCACAAGAGCCTTCACGAGAGGTCGGCCGTTGGTTACACGTTTACTATAGATCGAAACCACAAGAGCCTTCACGAGAGGTTGGCCGTTGGTTACATGTTTACTATAGATTAAACCACAAGAGCCTTCACGAGAGGTTGGCCGTTGGTTACATGTTTACTATAGATCGAACCACAAGAGCCTTCACGAGAGGTTGGCCGTTGGTTACATGTTTACTGTAGATCGAACCACAAGAGCCTTCACGAGAGGTTGGCCGTTGGTAACTCTACTATAGAATTAACCACAAGAGCTTTCACGAGAGGTTAGCCATTGGTTTACTTGACTTTGGAACGAACCACAAGAGCTTTCACGAGAGGTCAGCCGTTGGTTACTTGACTTTGAAGCAAACCACAAGAGCTTTCACGAGAGGTTAGCCACGGGTTTAAGTCACATTTAGTCAAACATTTCCAACTGCAATCCTAGAGCTTTCACGAGAGGTTAGCCGTGGATCATTTAAACTACCTTGCAGTTAGAAACTTAAAATCAGTTCGCTTTGCCTCAGAAGAACATGAAGCCATTCCAGTTGAAGCCGCTCACCATGGCATGGCACCGAAGCCAATCAACATGAGTTGGAAACTACTCCTATAGTCTCGCTCCAGTCAGTAAATATACTCCGGAGCAATTGCTACCTATGCTTATGGGAAATGGGACATTTCCTTAGCCAGCTATTCCATAGTGTTGCATGTTGGACAAAGCCATTCTTATCAAATGATTACACTTATTTTCCCTTTTCATAATTATTATAACCTAATTCCTCCCAATGTCTCAAATAAATGAGGAGGGGAGGAGGTGCCACTAAATAAAGATGGGATTGAGTGAGACGATAGGATTGTGAATATCAAATGACTCTAGGAGCAGTTACTGTTCGCAAATTAATTAACAAACCTATTAAAGATTTTAAGGATACAGCCAGACTGCTCTGTAAATTATTAACATGTGCCCCTGAATGAAGATCAGAACACAAATAGGTGTTCTAGCTATATATACAGTAATAAATAGTGCTTCAAGACAAGTTTATTGCAAGTAAAGCTATCAGAGAGTCTAAACTTGAATTGGAGAACATCCAAGAAAACCTTTTAGACTACCAACTTCATGCCAACCACATCAACAAACACTGTGTGATGTACAAACAACAAGTGTGTGTGTGTGTGTGTGTGTGAGCAAAAACCAAAACTAAAGCGAACACATGATTACAAGAAAATCAACAAGGCCGATGCATCCTCTACAGAATTTCTAATTCTACCCACAGCACTGAGGTCCGGATCATCGCTAGTACAGGTAGATCACATTACCTTTCTGAACAATAGAGTTCTGCTTTAGGTTTCCCAACCATACTTAGTTGGATTAATAGGTATAAATTACCATCACTGATATTCCTGTTCAGACAAATATACCACAAAATACCCACATAGGTGTAAAAGCAAAATAATTTTACTTCTGAAGGAAAATTGTTAAAGCTAAGGTGCTGTACTGTACCATATATGTAGATAACTGACTAAGTGATTACTTGCCAGTTTATCTTCACATTCCAGAACAAATGGTCCTTCAGGCAATTAAATAATTAAGGACTATAATAAATTATGTTACTATTAATATAAACAATGGATCTAGAACCATTTCTAAAACTCCTCATATGTTGAAGTGTCTTCAGATGCATGATCAACTTAAGAATGCATTTTATTTAATATCAGTGAAGGAAAATGGTGAATGACAAACATTTGCGGTTCTTATTTGTCTTCCCAAAGAGTAACCTTATACATTGTATAGTATTGATTACACGAAATTATGTTGATGATATTCCTTAATTTTGCAGAACATAAGAAATGTCTAGACTATATTACTAATACAGAACCTTACAGAAGTATTCTTGTAAACTTGGTATAGTATTAAATATTATTTATACTGAAAAGGGTGATTCTTTCAGTATATAGGATTAATTTCTTACTCTAGACAACTCTATATAAGTGCCACTTAAAAAGGTGGATTTTATTACAAGTATAATGAAAATTGTATGACCTAAACAAAAAGTTGCAGATTTTTGATTCCGTTCAACTTTAAAGTTAACATTGTTTGCTCGCCCAGCTATGGAATTTGGCTGGCTCCATGTTAAAATTAGGTTAATAATTGAAATTGTAAGGCCAATATAATAACTATTAAGCGAATACGCACAACAAAATATTCACTGTAAACAATATTTACGTTTGTTTGACATGTTGACATTAAAACATCAGATGTCAAATACGTTCTGTTTTACCAAAAAGAACTTGAACACTTGTTATTTAAGTTAATCTAGAATAAATGTTTACACCTTAAAAGAAAATAAGGCCGGTAAAGAAATACCTAAATAAACTCAGATGTCCCATTCGCACGAGTTTAAATCAAAGTTTGCCTCCAAAACCACTTGGTGTATCACGCCAAAGATCTATAGGCAAACAAGTATAAGAGACTGAAATATATGTATCATGGGTTCCTGACCCTGATATCTTTACTGTTGTTTTCACTATTCAGTAAGTGCAGGAAGATTCTTTTTCCATGCCCTCCTTCTTTTCGGAATTTTAAAAGTCATAAAGAGATAAAGGGGGGGGGGGTATATGCAAAGGTTATTAGGATCCATTATTGATACCCACGGTTCAACTCAAGTTTCTGAACCTCATTAAGTTCTAGTGTTATCTCTGGTTGTTTCCTTCCAGAAGTTCACCCACTTTACACAACATATACAATGTAGTCACCACCATATAATCAGGAATGAATTCCTAAGAAAAGGAATAGGTACTGCATTCTATGGGAATAATGCTAGCATCACATTGTAAAGTAAAACAAAACAGCAATACGACTTTGCTTTGACTTTTTCAGCATATGTATCCGTTGTGATTATTATATTTTTACTTCTAAATTTACCTATCATACAGTTTATTGAATACTATTAGATAGGTACTTCATTAGTCCTAGGTCCTCTTGTGTGAAATTATTAAGAAACTACCTACAAGATTTTTTAGAAGTGTATACAAATTAAGGCCAAAAAGAAAAAGAAACTTTAATATGTGGTGTGCGGTTCCAGTTTTATTCTAAAATAGGTACATAATTGTGTATTATTACAATTATTATTTAAAACCCTGAGGGTTACTGGTAGAATATGCCACTTGGAATCAAGTTCACCATGTACCGTAACTTTATTGTATTGTGTACATGACAATCTAAATAAATCAATATTATTATGTACCTGTATGTACTCCAATGATAATCTTAGCTTAAAACTTTAGTTTAAAACATCAATTAATTAGCACATATAATTCACACTATCTCTATCACTATAGATTGTACCTAAATGATAATGCCAATAAACCTGAACCATATTTAATAGTACCTACCTACCTACTATTTTTTATTTTTAAGAACAATTTTTAAATCATTGTTCTGGGATCAATCATATTCTACAATTTCAAGTGAATGTATGTCTAGTACTATAACAGTGGACTCTCAACCTCTTCTAAAGCCTCACAGAGATGTATCAATCAGTATCAAAGTCATATATTTAAGTAAGACGACTGCCTGGTCAGTCAATCCATTTTTCCACCAACAATCCTAATATTGCATGAGCTTATTAGCTCTGTATATCACTATGTATGGAGTCATGATCATAATGTAGATCTACTGAAAATGGAGAAGTTAGATAATATATATACAAAAAAAAAAAAAAAAAAAAGAAACTGATAATTTTGAAGAAAACAACCTATTGAAAGACGTTAAATTTTCGCAATAGACTGAATTTGAACAACGTTATAGTTCAAAACGTACATAGTAGGTGTACCTATAGTTGGTGTAGTGGACACCAGAATTTCAAGATAATAATATTGTTGCTATGCTTACTAAATAATTAAATTAATAAATAAGGACATTTAATTATTTTTCCATCACAATACATAATGATGTAGATCTTAATATTAATCTTATAATATTGACATAAGCTTGTTTCTTCTCTTCACTTCACTTTGGTTCTACATAGGGTTAATGCAGTTTACCTGACAATACAATGATGAAAGTCAGGAACCCAAACTAAGATAACCCGTGCTTTGGGCTTCTGTTTATTTTTAATACTATTTTTAAAATGTATTTAATTTTATAAGTATTTTTATTTGATAAAAATGATTGAAAACAATACCATAACCATAAGTAGCTATTATATCTAATAATGGTTTAGTGGCTTACATCTTGGGGAAATTATAAACGTAATTTGATTATTGCTTAAGTTTTTACTAGTACTATATAGTACTCGTGAGATATTGATGTTATTGACAATGTCATATATCTTGTTTAAGTGCAACAATGTTCAATGATTAAACAGTGTTGTTTGTCAACACAACTCCTTCTTTGAACGTCTACTAGTATAATTAGCGAGGATGACGCTACCTATACAATTAAATAGATCGGACTAACTTACCTGTGACGTCCGATCCTCAATTGTGTAGGTAGCGTCATCCTCGCTAGGTCCCAACCCTTCCCGGATAAAAAACATGTTTATTTTTACCCCTGGTCGAGTTGTGTTGCAGTTGCAGGTGCTTTGAAGTAAATGATGTTGCCAGTGAGATGACCATAGAGTATAAATATTTTTTTTATGAATGTGTTCATCTTTAAATATTGTGACAGCGTGCCCAGATTAGTGCCTACTACTAGTATAATTAGCGAGGATGACGCTACCTACACAATTGAGGATCGGACGTCACAGGTAAGTTAGTCCGATCTATTTAATTATTTATTCTTTCAATTGTATTAACTAAATGAAATGATATTAAGTATAAACAATTCATTATTATTGAAAATAATATAACTTAATGTATAGAAAACTATATTTCTACTATTACTTGAAATCAAAGGTACTTTTAAAAGTACTTCAAAAATAGCCAATTAAACTGATTTAAGAAATAGTCGCTTATCATTTCGTAATGACAAATTTTTACTTTTCGGTATCAAGCAGTGTAATGAGGCAACTCATATCCGAATTTCCTCAAACTTCACAATACAAATGACAAGTGTGACGCAAACTTTCAAGTATCGGACGTCATGGTGAGTAAACATCATAAGCGTGACGATTTGTACTATGGTAACTATGTATGGAACTTTGAACCCTATGGAGTCCTAAGTAAAGGTGATACTCGTTTGTATTTATAAACGACTAGAGTGCTTTTGATGTCCTGATTTATGATCATTGTGATTTTATCAAAACATTTATTAGAGCGTTTAAGTAAATAAGAAAAAGGATTGAATGGTACTGAATGCTTGAAAATGATTGTTTATTTTTTTTTTAGGAATCGGTTGCTCGATTGTGTTTTTTTTATCGTTGTTAAGTTAACTTGAAAATCTATTGATAAAAAATGTATGAAAAATTTCACGATGTACATAGTTATGGATTTTTACCGTTCTCACTTTCCAGACTGTCGACCAAAAAGTAGACTCCTTCCAAGTGATAATGGTAACCTTTTATCTTAATTACTTATAATGATGATTAAGTGTCGGATCGAATGGGCCGGCTTGACCACGGCCTCACAGAAAACTGGCGTGAAACAACGCTTGCGTTGTGTTTCGTCGTATGGTTGGTGGTTCAATGGTTATCGGAAGGCCTCCCTCCCTTCCTCAATTTCCTCAATCCCTGAATCTCGAACAATCCTAAATTTCGTAATCCCTAAAAGGCCGGTAATGCACTTGTAACACTTATGGTGTTCCGAGTGTCTATGGGCGACGCCGAATGCTTACCATCAGGTGATCCGCCCCCTCGTTGACCGGCTTATCCCATAAAAAATGATGTGAACTACTTACATAATAATCCTGGCTATGTCCATGTCCATAGTCTGCTTGGACAGGATAGTAGCCGCTGTAGCCTCCATGGCTACCTCCATAGCCTGACAAACCACCTCCATACCCGGCACCAATGTAGCCAGCATTAGCAGCAGCACAAACGGCCACAAATATAACAACCTGGAAATTAAAACAAAAGTACTTTTACTAAAACCTTGCATCTGTATGAATTAACAGTTTCGGAAATGTTGACTGCACAATTGTTTCGAACTTTATACGAAATTATTTTTTGTGTTATCAATAAATCGATATTCCGGAACTACGTGTCATAATGTCTGCACGACCTAGAAGGATTTGCAATTTTTTAGATAAGTGCTGGAAACGAGAGTTAAATTATACTATATACTTGAATTAATTTCAAGGATGAGGTATTTTTTATGGAATAATAATAATGCTACTATCAAAATGTAGGTATAGCGTTATCGATTACAGTGAAATTCTTAGTTATGCCACGAGTATTTGACTTTTTCCTAGAAAGACAAACATGGAAAAGCAGGGTATGTATTATTATTATCTTTACTTGTTACCCATAGTCTTTATATCTGCTAGTATAATATAAACAAATGTACGTTAAAAAGTTGTAGGTTAAAATGATGACCTTAATGATTCATTAATACGGTTTTATGAATGAAAAAGGAAATTGAACGGTAGCAGGAAATGCTACATTGATTCTTATTTAAGATAATACTGATATAACATAGCGTAATATAAAAATAAATACCATAACCGTATTCAAGGACAAAAAGACAAAAACAATACAATTCGCTCCATATAACAATAGAATTACAATCAAGAAAATTTGCACCAATTATGATAGTGACATTTAAGGTCAGTGTTATATAGTTCATATTTGATTATTTCCATTCATCACATGTGATAACACTGCTAATAGATACAGTAAGATAATAGTTTACAACCAAACAACATTAAAGTCGTAAGTCAATATTAACTGAACTCTTATTACTTGAACTGGCTGTGTATTGCGAGGTCCGATATTATTGGTTTAAGTTTAATTTGCGATCGTGGGTATATTATGAAGACATTACAACAATAGGAAAACAAAAAACAAAAGCAGGAAGCTTTGATCTAATAAAAAGTACCAGAGTATTTATAAATCTTGTTCCGATTTCGAAGAATGAAACAAGAAGTGTCTTGGTGTACCTAGGATTATTTTTCTTTTTTAAGGTTGAAAATCATCGAATGACTTCTCCCGCCTGGGTGAGGCGGAAGGGAGTGTCAGACCCTTATTTACTAAAAACCACCCCGTTTCTACTCCTGCCCTTCGAGCCGGAGCCCCGGCAACCCGTTCAGTCCTCCGAGGCTCCGTATCGGCATCAGCCCTTGGTGTTTTTTTAAGGGGGGAAAATCATCGAATTACTGATCCCGCCTAGGTGAGACGGGAGGGAGTGTCAGACTATTAGTGACTAAAAACCACCCCGTTCCTTCTCCTGCACATCGAGCCGGAGCCCGTTTGCCATTGTTTTTTATGTGCTTTGAAGAATTGCTGAGTTTCAATAATATCATTTTATTTGTGCCCTTGTAGTGATTACTTCTTCCCAAAATAAAAACAAGTTATGTTTTCAATTAGGATTTTGTTTTCCTTTTATTTATTTTGTTACTGTCAAATAAGTATTTATTTTAACTTCAATTTATCTTTGGCGAACAGCTTTTTCTGTGTAAACAAACTAAACATTATAGTGTTTACATTTATCAAACGTAATGTAGTAAATATGTGCATTTGAAAATGACAATTGTAGAATTGAAGAACAATAAAAGATAATTATCTACGAATGTATGCATGCACAAAAAAGTATGTATACGTTTTTACACTCGAGTAGAGTACAATCCATTACGTACTATGAAAACAATGAAAAATACATTTTCTTCTACATAACTGATTACGTGTTAGTCATGTTGTTATATCAATATTTCCCATAACTTTACTACGTTACGTTTATTCAGTACGAACAGTTGTTAAATGTAGCGTAACGGTAATGAATACGCGCTTTTTGTGGTTATATAATCGTTTGTCATATAAGTCATTTAGCTATTTGAAAATATCTATTGCGTCGTGGTTTTATGGTAAACTTATTGTGTCAGGGAATATCGTAGAGCTACTTTATTGGAATACAAAACTGCTTTATGCAATAATTTTTGAGACAGTATAATTTTATTTATAATATTTTATACTGCCTCGTTGGCCGAGTGGTTGCAAGTGCGACTGCCGGGCAATTGTTGATACAGACTAAACATACATGTAACACCCGGGTCGGGTTTTTAAAAAATTGTCAATAGTACACAGAGTCTGGAATAGTGCCCAGTATATGGCAATAGGCTCACCCTCTATTACATGGGACTCATAACATAAATAGTGAAAAGTAGGTGTTGCATTGGCATAATGTGCACCTCTGCCTACCCCTTCGGAGATAAAAGGCGTGATGTTATGTTATATATAATATTTTATGACATTTCTGATTGATTATTATTAAAATTAATTTTGATATCATTCAAAACGGGACTGTAACGATAAATCTGATCAACATGATTTTTGTTACTTTGTTTAACCGACTTCAAAAAAGAAGAAGGTTCTCAATTCGGCCGTATATATGTTTTTTAAAGTAGTTAGTATACATTATGGATACTTATACTAAGAATTATATTATATATTTTTCAAAAAATGCTGTAGTCCAATTACTATAAATTTAAATGAGGAAAATGAATAGGGCCTAAAGCAAAATTATAATATTGTACCTAGTTATCAATTATAGTATTTTTGTTTAGGATTCTGTTAATCGAGATTAGGTTGTGGGCTCAAAATATTGTTATGAGTTATGAATTGATATATTTATCGGTTTTAAAATTTTATAAAAGTGATTCATTTAGTTACTTATTAAACTATCAAACACCAAGCGGTCACCGGTGACCGCAACCTATTGTTCTTTAATTGTGTCTATAATGACGGTGCTCGACGAATTAAATTAAAAGCTCTATAGGATATTTAAACAATCGTAGAAATCTTGTTTCATATTAACTACGTTAAGTTTAATGTTGTATGTGATTCTAGAGCACCGAGCACCTATCTTCATTGACGGACTTTTATCTACTTTGTCTTTGTTGACGGTTCAAAAGCACCAAATTATGATATGAAAACAAATGCTTTGATATTAACTCTAATTAAAAATATCCAATCAGTATATGGAAGCCATAGTCATGTCATTACATTTTTATAAACTCGCTGAATCAGAATTTCTATAAGTAAATTGTATGACGTTTTCTTATAACTTCTACATTTAACTATTTCAATCAAAATTATTACATTAGAAATATAATATTTTGATAGTATCGAGCTAATTTGAACACTCTATACATATTATCTCTTTTTAACCCTACATTTAAATAATACGCACAAATTCACCGCACTTACTTGGAAGGCACGCATTTTCACAGTTCTTAAAGGTCACTTTCGTCCTCTTCGACACAGCCGACAGGAGCTGAACTGACACTGGTGCAGGTCTTGGCAGGCCCACTGTATTTATAACAAGCACTTCTATTGCACCATCTGTGCGTACGTTTGGTATAGCGCTGTGGTATAGCTCTTTAAGACCGATATGTGTAGACTAGAGGCTTGTTCTAATGTTTATGTAAAAAATGAATTTTGAGAGGGATTGGATATTGTAATGGTTGTTTCAGTTATTCAGGCGCCATTTTACATTAATGAATAAAAATTTATAAAAGTTTTATTTATTAAAACAAGTATTGTTGATACGCAGAAAGAATCTATTCGTAATCCTTACTAATATTATAAATTGGAAAGTGAGTTTGTTTGTTTGTTCCGCTTTCACGCCGTAACTACTAAACCGATGGCTTTAAATTTTTGCAGACGTAAAGGCAGAAGTCCGGATTAAATAATAGGGTACTTTTTATCCCGGAAAAATTTGATATTTCCGAGGGAAAACAAAAGTATTGGTATAGATGGCGCTGTGTGCATTGATATATGTCACATAGGCTACTTTTTATCTTTTTGTGACTCGAGCGAAGCCGCGGGTAAAAGCTAGTATTTTATATATGAATGCAATATAAATTTAAAGTAGGAGGACTTATTAGCAATTTTTAGTTTTAGTAAGTAGGTAGGTTTAAATTACCTTTGTAAAGAAACCTTCATAAATTTTCTTCATTTCATAGAGTTTTTTGTTACAGGTTCACTATATTAATAAAGGTGTTAACTATATCAAAATGTAATCAGTTTTACGATAGCTATCAATCATAGAAATTAGTTCAATAAAATTTTATGTGTTAAACCAGATTTTTGTAACTGGGTCTATTATATAATTATTTTTAGTCATAAGCATTTAGATCAATGTGTTGAAATTGAGGATGAGCACATTTTCGATTCATGGCATTGTATGTATTGTAAAATATTTTATTAGTTAGTATCTATAATAGTAATAATACGCTTTATGATAACAAATGACTAATCCAAAAGCTATAATTGAAATCTGAATGACACGAAAAATAAAAACGTTGCAGTTTTGAGCTTTGTTGCTGTATCGGTTACAGTTTCAAGGCCTAAAAGGCCAAATCAGAATAAGCAACGTGCAAATTAAAGTTTATGAATCACTCTAACTGAACGAAGGATGTAACTAGTGGGACAGAATTGCATACACGAATTTTCAAACTTTTCAGATAGTTTAAAAAGAAAATCTTGAAATTATATTTTCCGACACATTAATCGACGTCAACCTTTTGTTCTTTTTTTTCTTAGCCGGTAAACGAGCAGACGGATGGTAAACAATCGGCGCCGCCCATGGACGATCGAAACACCAAGGCGTTATGAAGTGCGTTACCATTCAGTATACACCAGAAAATTCGGATTCTAATGAATGTCAAATCGATTTTGAACCTAACTTCTATGAAACAAAGTACTAAAGTCATAAATACATCATCACCTTATTACTAGTAATACATATTTTTCGAAATCCCGAAGCCGCAAGCGTCGCTCACAATATTACCTACATTGTTACGTGCGTCGACTATCAAGCCAATTGATCTACATACATAGTTTATTTGGTGCGCTATTTATTGCAGTAAATAATTATTAAGCTGAGTTGCGTACGCACATTGTATTGAGATACTATTGTTTTGTTTTAATATTCAATGAGGTTATAAGTATAACTATTAACTACAAAAGTGTATGCTGCATGTCAACAATGTTTGGTTTTCATTGACATGATCCATATTCATAACGTAATTATTTAAGTGTGGGAGAGCCATGCTTCGGCACGAATGGGCCGGTTCGACCAGAGTGATACCACGGCTTCATAGTAAACCGACGTGAAACAACGCTTGCGTAGTGTTTCGTCGTGTGAGTGAAGTTATCGAAGGCCCAACTACCCCTCCCCGCTCTTCCCCAATCTCCCCAATCCCTGAATGTCTCTGGTGTTCCGGGTGTCCATAAGCGACGCCGATTCCTTATCATCAGGTGACCCGCCTGCTCGTTTACCGGCTTATCCTGTACAAATCCCTAAGATCTGTCAGTCCTTCTAAAACAGCTCATGTCATCTGATGATTGATGATTTTTAAGGCTAAAAATCAGATTTCGACTTAAATAAATACTACTCTGGTGCCACTACACGCCTCGAATTATTGACAGTTCGATACAATAAAGAATTTGGTATGTATGATAATTAATTATTTTAAAAGGATGTCTAAATCAATAAGTGGCAGTCAGTAACATCCTGTAGCTATTAGTCATTTCCTAGTTCTAAATGTCATGTAGGCTACAAAAATACGGATAAGACGTCATAATCAATTTAATTGTAATAATTTAAGATTTTGTGACTAGTAGGTATAAGATATATGGGATCACAAAATGTAGACGTATATATTGAATCTAAAGTAACTGTGACATTAAGCAATATTGACTTTGCTTGAAGATATTATGAGACCTAAAGTTCCACATGGGTTGGATTCCCACTAATTGCGTTTTTGTTAAATATGAAATATTGACCATGACAAGGAATCATTTCAAGTTACGTATCGTTATCATATCAGATCTAAAACGTCCACTGTTAAACACGAGCCTCCCCTAATCACCCCGAGACTGTTAGAAGCGAATTGAATCTTTCGGCTCCTTTTTTATGGGATAAGTCGGTACACAAGCGCACGGATCACCTGATGGTAAGCAATCGGCGTTGCTCATGGAAACCCTGAACACCCGAGGCGTTGCAAGTACGTTACCTACCTTTTGGGGATTTGGTATTTTAGGATTGTTGGGGGTTCAGGGCTTGGGTCATTTGGGGAGGGGATGGGGGGGGGGGTAATTTGATCCTCCGGTAACCTCACTCACATGACGAAACACAACGAAAACGTTGTTTCACGTCCGTTTTCAATGTGGCTGCGGTATCACTCCGGTCGAGAAGGCATTTTCGTGCCGAAACATGGATCTCCCACACTTTTGACCTTTATCAGTCGCGTATAAACAATAGAATGTATCACAGGATACATAAAAATTTAATACTGAACTACATATATGGGCTACAGAAAATAAAATTTACTACAGTCATCACGTATAAGGTCAAAGGCATAAGTCAGTGACTAGTCGCTGTAAACCTAAAAGTCAACTGCAGCAGCAAATACTGCAAAACTCTAGTTGGATGTTAGTAAATTAAAATATTGGTAAACTCTTGGTTGTGTTTGCAAAAGGATAGAATTAACAAAATTATTCGCAGTCATATTATACACAATTATAAGATAGTGCACAATAATATAATTATTCATACAAATTTTCCACTGTAACAAAAACAATATATAATATTAATTTTATAATATAAAGTATTTCAAATGAAGCAACGTTACAGGTTATCGGAACACCTGTAATTCTAATATATTTATGGCCTCTTGTAATTGCAATTTATTAGTAATTTTAGGTTCTTTAATTAAAGTAAGCTTAGAGTTAGTTAGTTCGAAACATCTCTGTAGAATTGAGTCAGTGGTGTGTTGAAACTTCACTACAATGCCTATTATTGTGTACGCTAAACGATGCCTATCTGAAACTGGGGTAATATCTACCATGTAATAGAGAATATTATATATATGCTTACTATGTACAAAACCGCGTAAATAGATTTAATTTTTATGTTAGTTTAAATAAATACAAAATAAATGTTGAGCATTGTTCACGTACATCCTTTGATACTTCACATTTCACACATAAAAAAATCCTGACATAAAGTTCCGATTCAATTTACTGTACCTAATAGCTCCATTTAGAAAAACGAATAGATTAACAAGCACTTAGTTGCTTCTTCGATTAGCAATCGAGAATTCGATAAAAATCGCTGATATTCCGGTTGCGGAATCAGAACAAGGTAACAAGGATTGCAGCACCACACTATTTCGAACCCAAACCCTCCATTAGAACAGCCGATGATAAGTACAATGCCTAATAATTACCGATCGGTGCATCAAATTAATCGGCAATCGCATTGTATCGATTCAAGTTATCGAATGATGATCGAATTCGGAACTATTCGAATTGTGCTTCAATTATTATTAGAAGTGGATAGTTTTGTGCTTTTTACCTTGTATGGAGTGAATGGAATTTTGAAAATTGCTCTATTACTAAAGTAATGAATTGTACTTCGGGTTCATTTGTTATTCAAGTACCTATATGATAGAGATTTTTACATGCCTAGACTGTAATAGATTGAGAGCTGTAAAAAAACAAGTATAGTTCCTTGTTTTCAGTACACTACTACTACCTACTAATTTGCTAAAACCGGTGTCAAACCCAAAGAGGTGGGTAGAGCAAACAGGATTGCAATGACATAGTCACTGATAATATCAAAGCCTTAATGACAAAAACAAAGCAAAGCATTCAGAAGTTACGTCAAATTTTGACTCAGGACCGTTTTTTCAATCATCAGTTAACTTATTATTGTAGTATGAAATTAATATTTGACAGTTTTTGGTATGGAAGATATATCAAATATTTAAAGTTATTTCTCAGTTAAAATTTATCTGGCATTGGATAAATCGGTCTCAATCCCGCAGTTCTAGATTTTTTTTTATTTACCACAAGTGCTCTAAATTTAAGACCAAAATCAATAGCGCTGATCAGCATTGAACAAAAAAGAGCCACACAGCTCATTAAGCACAACACAATCACAACAAAGATTACAAAATAAAGATTCCACTGAAAAAATGTACCACATTGGTACGTGAGTTGGTCAAGGAACATTGGCCAAGTAATTGGTACACGTACTTGGTCACCAAGGTTGGCCAAATGTATGTATTGGCAACTCTTTTGGTGTATTTACATCAGAATTGTAGCAAAAAAGTGCTTCATTGATATCGAGGTTCAATATAGGAGATACTATGATTGATATTTAATACTATTGGGTAATTGCCGTAGGTAAAGGTATGTTTAAGTGACGCAGTGACAAAATTCCATTGAATTGCACTGCTTACACAGCTTCACTTCAAGTTATAATAACCAATTTATCATGA